TACAATGTGGCATAACCATTTTGGACAACAGTTTATGTCGAAAGAAATGTGCTTTGCAGGAGATATTATTATTATTATTATTATTATTATTCATTTATCGCTCATAAAGAAATATGTTGGAAACAATGAATGCCTCGAGTTTCCGGCATTGCAGGGACTTCCTATCATCAGATAGCGGTTACATCATAAATGACTTTCAGAATTAGGAGTGAGAGTCAAGAACAGTGAGATGAGAGCAGTGATTTGAAACTGAGGGTGAAGGTCTGCGATGTGAACACAGCAGGACCCTCCACTGTTCAGCACTCTGTGTTTAAAGCCTGTCTGCTCTTTGACTCACTTTTCTGGGTCATTAAGTCCTGCTGCTGGCCTGATGAAGAGGGGCCAGACGCCATGTCGTCTCTAGAGAGGAGAGCGTCCATCTCTACAAGCGTTGTCCTCAGTTGGACACCCGTGGGACCCTCTCAAACTGGCCAGGGACGTTCTAATTTTTTTTTCTTTTGGACACAGCTCGTATCATTTTAATGGGAGCCATTTAATTCCAGGCCAACCTTGTCATGTGACAGGCAACTCTTCATTCTTAAGGTTGAATTTTTGTTCCCGTGATGATAGCCTCCACTAACTGCTCTTGTCCCTGGACAGCACTGACAAATTCCCACAGGTGATTGTTCGTTGGTAACTTGCAGGTTGTGCGTTGAATATTGTCACCCTGAGAAAATGTCTACATTGTGAGACACTAGACCAGAGAAAAAAGGCCAGTAAAAGGGTTTAGATTATTTTGTCAAATGCAACATTGTCAAACCCAAATTGTGAAAACAAACCCTCTTTAAAAGTGTGCAAAAATACAGGTCTATCCATATACCATGTAGTATATTTAAAATACATTACTATTTTGATAATAAACCAATACATTTGGGATGATAACAAAGAAAAAATACCTTTCACCATTTTGTAGTTTCAACTTCTAAAATGTATGGATTTACATATTTATTTCAGTTTTTAGTCAAATCCTTGTTATTCTGAAAACACACATGCATGGTACCCAGAGGATGAACCAGAATGACTTTGGTGATCCCCTGAATACTCCTCTGCACACATTTTGGTTTTAGACTGTTGCCCATTTAAATCAAGAGATTTCAAGTTTTGACTTTCAAGAAATTGGGATTATTCTTATGCATTTTTAACCTTTTCCTGACATATTAAAAATTAAACAGTACACTTATTAAATGAAGGAATATTATGCAGATGAATTGACCTAATTAAGGACCTTCATTTATATGCAGTTGCTCTCTCAGACACTTCTGTACCTCACATTGCTCACAGTTCAATGCAGAATCGTGTGTGCGTGTGCCCGTGTGTTTACTTAGGTGTTATCTACCCCTATGACCCTTGTGTACGGTGGTTGAGTGTAGAGTATGAAACCCACAGAGAGATTATCCCCGCTGCATCAGACTGAATTACCATCTCCTCTCACATCTGGGCTTTTGTTCCCCTATTTGGCAGCAGCAGAAATGATTGCACCTTTATTCACCCCTCCTCCCTTCTCTTAACAGGACAAGTGGGAGGTTAAAAAAGCTTCCTTTTGTTATTCCAAACAAAGACTGTTTAATAGTTTGGAAATCTTATATAGAGTGCTGAGTGACTGGGGAAAGGGCAAACGTTCATTCAGCATCACCGGGACATTTGTTTTGTTATTTAGTGTTCGCAGTCTGAACCTGAAAACAGACTGTTCATGGTTTGGGGCTCAGAAGGAGAGAAGTGTAACATACAGTATCAGCAGGAATCGTGCTGTAACCAAAGATCTCATATGTTATACTAAACATGTGTACCCAAGTACAATGTAAGATACTGCATGAGTGTATTTGTTATACTTTATAATGCCACGCCACAACATTTCAGAGGCAATGATTCTACTTTTTACTCCACCTCACTGCATTTGTTTGAAAATAACTACTTTGTTTTTCAATGTAAGATTTGATATCATTTAAAAAATCTAAAACATGATTAGATTATAAAATACAAATAGTGTACCTTTTTTACTTTAATTAATTAAATGACTAATGGCAATACAGATTAAAACCGTAATGGGAAAAAAAAAAAAGATGAAACTAGTGTATTATTAAAAATGTAACTACCAAAAAGTATGCTGTGACATTCAAGTCATTTACACATTATTGCATCAACCATATTGCATCAACAATTATGATACAATTCTAAAATATATGTTTTATTTTGAACTACTTAATGAGGAGTTTACTTTTTATGTAGTATATTTTGATCCAATTACTTTAGTTTATTTATCACATTTGTACTCCTCGTTGTGTCAGATGTCTAAAAAGTACGTGATTACCTGACAACAAACAAATGATAGTAATCATTTGTCTATCAACAGAAAATAGATAAACAAAAATAAAGTCATCAATTAAGATCTGTTTCGTGCAAAATGCCAACTATTGTGTGGCCCCTTTATTTGTATTTCACACTATTATTAATGTATAATTTTTTGATTGTATGTTGTGACAAACTAACAATTTTAAGTCGTCACTTCAAGATGTGAAATCTTTGTTTCCTTATTGCTTTTTTAGATCAGACAATGAATGGATAAATGAAACAACTAAAATAAAAGGTAATTATTTAATTAGCTGCAGCACGAGTGTCATTAAAGTTAGGTGCCCTGTGACTAATTGAGAAGTGTTTCCGGTGTTTGAGCAACATGAATCTGTATTAAACCGGCGAGCTGAAGACAGTCTGATGCAGCAGAGAACATGTGTACAGTGTGTCGTGATTTAACATCTCCTGTTAAACTAACTCGTCCAGTTGCGTTTAGCCTTTAATTATGCGTCATAGATTTCCTGCTGATGAACAGGCAGAGAATTAACAGTGGACGGGGCTAATTCACAGCTGCTGCGCCCCTCCACCCACATGCCGTTATTGCTGTACAAGTGGACCGCTGAGAGCAGGGTGCACTTAGCTACACAAACATTAGTATTAACGATTGGGCTGCCAGTTTGGAATTGGTGACAAACTGCAGACGGGCAAAAATTGGAGTCCGAAACCAATCAGGAAGTTAATGAGGAGAAAAATTACTCTGCTTTCCCCCTCCCACCTCCACTGCTGAGGAGCAGGGAGAGGGAGGGGTGGTGCTGGGGGGGGGGGGGGGGGGGTGTTGAGGAAGCATGAGGGGGGCAAATCGAGATGCCAGAGGATTCTGGGAAACACTGCTCATGGTGTAATGTTATTCTAAACGTATATATAGTATACATTTTTCAGATTTTGCATCTCATAAAATGGTTAAATAGGCCCTCACATGCTTTTTGGGGTTCTCCCTTTCCTGTACTCTGTTATATAGGTTTGTGTGCATGTAAATGGTCTGCAAAGACTAAAATCCCACATTTCCCTCCAGAGAGATAATGGAGAAGCGCCACTCATAATGCCCTGTTTCTCTTTAAATGTCTTTTTATAACTTAACTGTGTAATATGGCTTTTTGTCATTGTGTAAAAAAGGTGCCCGATGAGTTTGCATCCCTTGCATCTCTAAACTCTTGCCACAGTTGGTTTGTAGCAAGCTCCTTTGCTTAATGGAAATAGGATTTTTTTATATAAGAAAATTAGTTTATTCAAGTTTTGTTTTGGTATTTAATTTCAGGCATTGTTTTGGCAAATGATTAAGATACCACAGTAGAAGAACAACAATAGCTGAGCGGCAAAACTGGAGTCCGGTTTATAATTCAAATGGGTGGGATGGCATACAGGAGCTCTCGTGTTAAATACAAAGATCTTCTGTTTGTGTTCAGTGTCTTCCCCTTTTCGCTGACTGACTCAATCTGCTATAAATCCTGAAGAACGATTTGACTGCAGTCATATTTATATCAGGTAAATACAGAGAGGGTCATTCATTCTGCAGCGCTGATGTCACAGCTTCTATCTGTCTCTCTATAGTATTTCTTCTCTCCTTTTTATTTTCTCGCCTTGCAGTACAAAGCAATTTGTATTTGATGTGTGCTGCTGTGCTGTCTACCTACCCGAGGCAATATATATTTATCATATTAATGACTTTGAGGAGTATCCAAGAAACAAGATTTGTAGCTCAATACCGGAAAGAGAAGTGAGAGATTTGAGCTGTATTTACTTTTCAAATACATAAACATACTTTACCCAGTAATTCTGAGAAGTAGATATTCTACCAGAAGAAATATTTAAAGGGGCCCTATTAAGCTTTTCCGTTTCCTGTAGTGTTATAAAGGTATGTGTGCATGTAAATGGTCTGCAAAGTTCCAAACGTTTCTCTCCCACGCACTCCCCTGCTGCCTGAAACGCCTCCTTTGTTTACGTCCGTAACATAGTGACATCATTGTAACACGTCCTCTTCTATTGGCTAGCAACATTGTATGTAATATAGGCTAAGGGGCAGGACATCTCTAAGCGGTTGACCAATCACAACAGAGCCGGCCAGCTAACCAATCAGAGCAGACTGGGCTCTGGTTTCAGATAGAGGGTGAAAAGAGGAGCTGCAGCACAGGCAGTATCTCTTGTCACCAGTGGTGATCCGTGTCTATCACAACTGGACCTTCTGTAGACACACCCCCCGCCGCCGCCGGCAGAACCTGCTTAGAGACCTTAACCCTATCACGTACAATGCGTTGGAGCGCCAGCCAATAGAAGCGCGAGTATAATATAAAGATGTCACTATGTTACAGAAGCAAAAAAGGATTACAATAGAGGCGTTTCAGGCAGGGGGGGGGGGGAGTGTGGGAGAGAAACTCTGGCATGAACTTTGGGATTTGAGTCTATGAAGACAATTTACATGCACGCAAGAATATATGATACACTACCGGAAAGGCAAAGACCCCAAAAAGCATTATAGGGCCCCTCTATTTATAGTTATTACAATAGTGTTGTCAACAATATTGTTGATATCGTCACAGTTAGCAATTTGGGGAAAAGTTTGTTTCATCATTATAACCTAAATGAACCCTGCCCTCCTGTTTGACTCGTCCCTGCAGCCTTCTCCCCCGGTAGCGCCCCCCCCGGGCACAGCTCCGCCCTGCCCTGCAGGTCCATCAGCACCCTGGGTAACTCTGACGTCAACGAGTGTCAGGTCGGCAGCGAGACACCCAACTTAACCGTGGACTCCATCGTCGATGGTGACGCCGGCAAGTAAAAGAAGATAAGGATGAGCTACCAGGAAGAAAAGGATTATGAGATCATTTAAGCAAAGAAACCTCACCGTTCACTGTTGCTGCAGGTTGTTTGCTTCTGTCCAGGAGGTATATTTCATACAGTCGTTGAAATCACAAATTGTTTGTGCATTTTTCGTGAAAGCCAGTTCATCAGCACAGAAAGTTAGAAAAAACAATACAACGTGCAAATATCTGCAAAGCACACATTTTGGCTGTTAATGAACGAGCTATTGACAATCAGAAAAAAGGGTTAGTGTTTTCTACAATACATTGTTCAAGCTAAAACTCTGTAATCAAGGATTCCTTGAATACTTTTAAAAATATTTTTTAAAGATGTTTCTTATCCCACACTACACAAACTAATATAATCTGATGGCTCTTTCTTAATAACAAACGCCTTAATGCCTTTTTATGAAAACAATTTAATTTGACCATATAAACCAAAACCAAAAACATCTGCAATGTGCTGATCTACCAGCCCGCCCTATAAGGACTCCCAGACATATGCCGAGATATATTTTGACACTCACCACTGTAACAGTCTGTACCTTGATCAGCATCAGATCATTGCATTTATTTTCCCCCCGGTATAACAATTGTTTTCATTGCATTGAAGTTTTAGAGTAGAAAAAGAGAGAGGGATGTGGTGCGATGGGAGGAAACAGGCAGGTGAGACATGAATCATGTTTGCCTCCGTTGCGTTGGCGTGTGATGAGCCCCGGCTGCTTATTTATGGCACCAATCCAGCGGCATCGTTTATTCCAATGAATTTGCATGTCTATTGTATATTTAACCCCTTCAGACTTGGAGCTTTCACTATGCGCACAGGCTACTGTTTACACACGTTGGTACAGCATGTAGATACAGAGGCTGAGGAGCAGTGACGTGTAAGGCTGCAATAATTAGATTTGTAGATTCACAACACATAACAGCCACCATTTTGATAATTAATTAATCTAAAAAAATAACAATTGGTTTTAGCTTCTGAAACGTTTAATATTTGCAGATTTCTCTTGTCTTGAATTAAAGTTAATTGAATGTTTGAGTTTTGGACTGTTCAGATCTGGGCCATGTTTCCTTTAATTAAGAAGAACAACTCCGATGAGATGTTGCCGACTTCCAGCGCCCCACTGTACTGCATATTGTTGATTTGTTTTATGTTTTATGGAGAATTACTTCCAACTGCATGCTTTGAAAGTGTTTATTTCTGTTTGTGTTCCAATAAGACAGCAACAAAAGTAATTTGGAGTCCTGGAGTTTATGTTGCTACAAGTTCTCGGGAAATAAAAACGTTCCAAAGTGATGGAGTGTAAATGTGATGCTGGAAACAACAATATAAAACAGACAGAGAAAATTACTTGTATTTTCTGTCTGCTGCGCTGTGGGAACATTCATTGGATTCTGCCCCATCTGTTGTAATCAATAACGTGACCATCTTGTTTTTTTATGAAACGCACTTACTCTTAATTTCATCCACCAGTGGTTTTAGAGAGAAGAATGTGGAGTTACCTATACGGCTTTGACATTATAAATCACCTCTTGAGACCAGATTGTACAGCAGTATCGATTGATCCTGATATATCACAGAAATTTACTGTCACTTCTGTTTTCAATTAAAGATACAATCAGTCAGATAATGACTTAATTGGATTTTACAGAAGATTGAGTTTTATTGCCCCGTGCTTTACGAGTTTAGTTAAGGAAGGCCATTTGATCACGTTTGTCAGGGGCGACTTGCTGCTGCTTGCCTTGTCCTTCTGTAGCTGCTGCTGCCGCCACCCTGCTGTACAGCGCAGGGGAGAAAGTGTCACAGGATTGGTTTTCCTTGAGCTGCCAATGCCTCCATGAATCATTCCCCCCCCCTCCCCATCATAGATAAAATGTGCTCGGATCCCTCCGTGACAGTGGAGTGATGGCCTCTAGATACAGAAAGGAAGTGTTTGGAGAGGACGCAGTGAGCCCAGATGTGGAAAGTTAGATCTCTTTTAAATTATATATACATAAAAGAGAATGCTAGTCTCCGTTGTAGAGCTCACTTAGAGTAAATATGTTCTATATCATTTGAGTTTCAGCTGATTATCTGATTAGTTGTGTTGTTCAGACCTTGTTATTTAGATTATTCTGCAACTCGCAAAAGTTCTCCCTCAAACGTAAGTGCTTAGATTTTTAGTAAAGCAGAAACCATGTCTGACTTACCATGTTCTGTCGCTTTCCTCTCTTTCCTCCAAGCGCTCTCCTTTTGTGTTCTGTCCCTACGATGACCGACAGGGGCAAACGCGCTACAACGGCCAGAACACTGCAGCTTCAGAAATGATGCAAATAAAAAAACATCTTCACCTACTTGACAAGAAATGGGCAGCATTTCAAAAAACACTCACCAACTTGAGGAAAGTTTTCTAAAAGCGTTGCATGAAAGAAAAGCGTTGCATAAGAAATGCTGCAAGAAGCTCAAAACGGTGACAGGGACACAACATATTATGTACACAGCTGGGAATGAAGCAAGTGTGTTTTTCAGTATATTTGAAATGGCTAGGTCAGCTAGCTTACAGCAGATCTTCAATAATATAGGAAAAGTATTATGCGATCACATTGTTAAAATAAGCCAATAAGACCAGAACGTCAACAAGCGCTCCGGTCCCAGCTGTGTGCATCACTTTTCAGTGCGGCACATTTTAATTTTTTTTTTATTTGCATGGTTATTTAACTGCAGCACGCGTCTCCTAATGGAGATGTTTTGACCGTAATAATGCGATACCTGTATTAACTGGGTACCGACCACTACTGTGTATTCAAATCTAATGAGTACAAATGTACACTTATCCTAAAGTTAAACATTAAATAACTTAAATGAAGATAAAATCCAAAAAGGCAAACAAACTGTTAAAATAAATAATGGAATTTTCAATTATATAAAGTCAAAGAATAAATTAATCTGGGGTTAAAACAATTTTATGAGCTGGAAAGATACTTTTTCATTGGTACAATTTTGGTGTCATGCAACTTCCACCCAACTTCAGCCCCCTTTCTTCTCACAGTAAGTGCTATGTCTAAACTTGAGACATTTTAAACATTTTGTAATAGACCACCTGAATGTTTTACAAAAGTTTGTGCTGTCTGACATTACTTGAAAGACATTATCATACTTAACTAGAGTATTCATTATTTTTCCCAGCCGAACTAGCCCTTTAGTATTGGTTTTACTTTAAAGGTGGATGTGTTTGCTGGTAGGAGGATCTGGGGCTGTCTGAAGGCCAGGCAGAGCACCGGTCATAAACGTCCAGCCCTGAGAGCCAAGCACCAATAAACAGGCCGGAGTAGACGGACTAAACCGCTGTGCATCCACCACTAATCTGAGGACGTTGCCCATCATTTGTCTTTACACCTGCAGGGAGAACAGCACGGGAGGACACACTCTTCTCCACAAGTGGATCAGAGGCATACATTCAGGAGTTAGTTTAAAGAAGAAAATAAAGAATTGCCAAAGAGTGTTCAAATGCTTATTAATTTAAGTAACATTACTCTGCATTGAAAATGTTCCTATAAATATGTAATCAGGAAAATGAACTAGTATCTAATTACGATTCTAAATAAAATACTTTTGCCTGTAATATATAATTTTTAAACTTACTATGATGTGACTTGCTCCATAGCTGCTGCTATCCAATCAGAAGACCATAACTTCACTTGTGCAGAAATCTTATAGTATGTCTCCTTTTTACCACCAACATTTGTCGTCATTTCACGATAGGCCCAGGAAGGGAAAAATACAAAACAATAAAATGAATTAGTAATTTTACTTTAGAACTGAAAAACAAAAGATAGTTGTTTAAAAGTAGCCATTGTACGTATTTATGTACGCTGGTGAACTGATTTTGATAATATTTTACCTTTTTTGTTTATAATATTGTTCAACTAAACTATCTTTCACAATAATGAAACTCATCTCACCAACTTAAAATAGGCTACGCTGAAAAAACTGAAACGTTGACTTTAATTAAATGTATTATGTCAACAAATGTCACATATCTGTACTAGGTTAGTTGAAAGCAATAATATTAAGTTTGAATAAAAAATATTAGGTTCAACTTAATATTATTGCATTCAACTAACTTAGTACAGATATGTGAAATTTGTTTCAGTTTTTTCAGTGTAGTTTCAATAAAATAAAATAAACACCTTGTCTTAAATGAATTAACTAATATTTGTTCTGTCATTTATTTGTGTGCAATTTAATATTTATATTTCTAGGAATGATTCTTAAACATTGCTTTTCGGTGCTGCCAAATATGATAAATGTCAATTCATTCATTTTCTTTTATAATAATAATAATAATTGTATAGGCCTTATATTCCATATGGATTCCCATCATTCATTCCAATTTAATCTAAATGTATTACATTATATGGTATTAAAGTATAAGTATAATGATAACCTACATTTTTCAGGATATGTTTGTAACCTTGGAATTCCTTTTTATGTGATATTTACATTACTTTATTTAAACAGTAAAAAAAATGTGATCTTGGATAGATATACATATTGTAATTGTTTAACAATATTAAAAGTTGCTAATTTTACACAATTTTCTTTACATTCCTTACTATCTTTTAACAACACATGTAATAGTCATGTTTCTCCAATCACTTCTTTGGATGTCAAAATCAAAAACACACTATTGGAATAGCTGATACCTTTAGTGCTCATATGGTTGCTCCAACTTATAGTATCCTAAAAAAGCCACAGACTTTTCCTTTTTTCCCTGAGGACTGATGCTTGCTGACGGATGTCCTCACTAATTCAGACGTCCGGCTAATTCCTCAGTAGGAGCTCGGTGTCCCGCCTCCCTGGGGAGACTTAAATCAGCGTTCCTGTGACAGGACTTCTGAGTGGCAGCTACGCCCCCAATCAGCACCTCATAATAACCCCACTCAGCAGAGGTCAGCCCCGCCCCCTGCTCCTGGAGAGGGGCCATGCTGTAGG